AAAAAGCATATGTTTTTCACATTCATACATACAGACTTGTGTTAACTTGTCTTGTTCCAGCATCAAATTAAAACTATCTCTGTAATTATGTCTATTTTAAACTGTAACAATTCTGAAGATGCCTTCCATCTTAAAACTCTTTTCTCAGGATAAGATTTCTTGGACATTTCCACATAGTCTTCTCAATCCTAGCCAAGATCGACAACACTCCTTATTAATTCAGATATCTTTATTTTTTATTTAGTCTTTTTGTTGTGTGTTGTACAAAGAATAGTACCCACATCTCTCTATGCACATTTGGCTCATTGGAAATCATTCAATTTAACAGCACTACTAATAACAACAATAGCAATAATAACTGCACTTATATTCATTTATTTTTAATTTTTTTGATGAGGAATATTGGCCCTGAGCTAACCTCTATGCCAATATTCCTCTATTTTGTATGTGGGACGCCAGCACAGCATGGCTTGATGAGTGGTGTATAGGTCCATGCCTGGGATCCTGTGAAGGAGAGCAACTGAACTTAACCAGTACTCCACGAGGCTGGTCCGACAGCACTCACATTTAGAAAGTGCTTTCTATATACTAAAAATTGTGCTCAGTTGCTTACATACATCACCCCATTTCATCTTTAGGTCAATCTTATGAGTTAGGTTCAGTTATATCCTCCCCACTCAAATATGAAAACTCATGGTTAGAGAAGTTACCTAGTTGATCCATGGTCAGATAGATACTACGTGATTGAGCTAAAATTTGAACTCAGGCAGTAAGGTAAGAGTCTGCATATTTATACTGAAAATGCTGCACTTCAAAGTTTTGATCTGTAAACTTAAATTGTTAACATAATTATTGGAGTCAGTTAATACAGAGAACAAAATCCACCATCAAGATCCCCTACTATTTACTCCCATGAAGGAGTAAACAATTATTCAAGATAGGAGTGGCGTTTTTTCTGTGCAGCACCATTGGTCATTCCCATGGGCTAAGACAATGTAAACCCAGCTCATTTCCTAGACATTTAAGGTTTAAATTCAAGCTTTACAGAGGCTGAGTTAGCTTCAGATGTGAAAAAGACAGCATACAAGGCAGAAAACATCAAGTTTCCTGCCTGACCCAAACCAGCTGTGTGACTTTGAGCTAATCTACATCCCTCCCAGAGTCTCAGAGTCCCATTAAATAAATAAAGATGGCTTACCTATTGCCCAAAGCCTCTTCCAGCTGTGTGAGACTCTGCTTCTATCTGGTCAGTGCTGCTCGTTGTCCTTTCGTGGGGACCTTTTTGGCAGAGATAGTGTAGGTCGTGTGCTTCTCCATGTCCTAGGGTTTTACTTATATAATACTCGGGAGCAGCGGTTCTTAATGGTGGTGAGGGGGCTATTTTGGTGCCAGAGGACATTTTGCAAGGTCTAGAGACATTTTTGACTGTCAGGACTTGGGTGATGCTACTGATATCTAGTGGGTAGAGGCCACGGATGCAGCTTCACATACATGCTAGATTGTACCGGACAGGTTCCCACAGCAAAGAATTATTCAGCCCCACATGTCAACAGTGTTACTATTGAGAAACCCCGTGCTAGATTAGAATTTAATATCACCGTACATTACAAAATGCTAATCTCATATGGCTACATCTCATCAATGATAAATAACTCTAATGCCTCTTTTTCCAGTTCTGTTTTCTATTTGTAGAATGGTGCCAATAGTGCTGTATAATTTGATTTGCCTCTGCCATTGCTGACGTGTATCACTTGGTCATATAATGATCATTAAGAATAGAAATGCAGAAGATGAACAAGTCTATTGCTGCCAATTTTATTTTCCCTCCTAATAGTAAAAAGAGATAGTTACAATTCCCTTTGCACCTGATGTTTTCCTAACCCTGAATGTATTTTCTTTTGAAATGTGAATTCATGGTTAAAAACTACTGAGGCTGAAATATTTCCTGCTTACTGCAAGATAGCACAATGATGCTGCTCTTAACGATACCCTATTTTGTCTGCACAAAAATGAGAATCATGAGTACAAAATATCCTTAAAACAAAGTAACTTACACTTTTCAAATTGTCTCTCCATTTTAAATTGGCAGCTAAATACCTGCTGTGATTAAAAGATGAAGTAAATTCTTCTCACATGAAACAAATTTCAAACAAGCTTTGTTGTGCCTTGTCCTTTCATGGAATTCATACAGTTACTGTTGAGGCTACCATCACTGTTAGTAAAAATGAGCCACTGATGGAGACAGAAGCAAATGTGTAAAATGCTACCCATGATGTCTGTAGAGGAAATGCATATTGAAAAGAGGTCATATTCAACTGGTTGGGCCATTGGCCTCTGCTTCAAAATTTAAATCAGAATATATAACACAAACATGTTCCGGAGATTTCTGTGAAATCTTGAGTTCTGAATCAAAAGTATTCCAACCTTCCTCCCTCCCCAGAACTGCTCATCAGTCAGCCCCTTTGTTTTTGTTATGAACGACTATAATCAGGCTGTTTAAAGCAACTGATGCATTCTGTTGTCAGTTATAAATGTCGGCGGAGAGTACCACAAATGAACCACAATTTGATTTAAATCTTTTTCCTTCTTAACCAAAATGGCAGCATTTGAAAGAGTACAAAAAGTACATCTGTTATCGTGACAAAGACTGGAGGAACAATGAAGAGAAAGATTAGAAGGAAAAACACCTGCAAAGAGAAGTCAAAGACATTTAAGTAACGAGAGAATGAGACCAATACCCTCCTGCTCATTTCCTCTAAGACAAAGGAAACTGGCAGTTAAACAGGAAAGCAGGCCCAGTCTGCATTGAGTTTTCAAGTTTGTAATATTGATTTCATCATTGCCGTCTTTTGTAAAATAAACTCTTTTGTAATTGGCTACATTTTTTATCTTGCAGTGAAGCTACAGTTACTCTTAGTTGTAAATATAATTAAACGAAATTAAGGAGTTTTCTTCAAGCACCCTTCCCTTCATTAATATATCCAACAAATGTTGATTGTCTACTATGTGAAAGTTAGTACAGCATGGATGTATTAGTTATCCACTGCTGCGTAGCAAGTGACTCTCAAATTTAGCAGCTTAAAACGAAATAAATATTCATTATCTCATGATGATTGTGCATATTAGGAATGTGAGAGCAGCCTGGCTGGGTGGTTCTGGCTCAGGGTCTCTTATGACATCATAATCAAAACGTCTTCCAGGGCTGTAGCATCTGAAACTTTGACAGTGGCTGGAGGATCAGCTTCCAAGATGGTTCAATCTCAAGGTGCAGGCTATTGGCAGCAGTCCCCAGTTCGTCCCTGTGTGGGCCCCTCCACAGGCTGCTTGAGTGAAAAGGTGCTTGGCGTTGCCCAGAGTGAGCAATTCCAAAGAGAGCTACAATCTCTTTTATGATCTAGCCTTGGAAGTCATACATTGTAATTTCCATACTATTTCCCTTGTTACACAGGTCAGCCCTATTCCACTTGGGAGAAGACTACGCAAGGGTCTGAAGAACAGGCGGTGAGGATCACTGGGCCATCTGAGAGCCTGGCTACCACAGTGACTAAGAGCTCCTTCCTATTTACATTGAGTGGATTTTTAGGTTGAACAGTAGAGACGGTTCCTTCTCTCATCGAGCTTATATTCTGGTGGACAAAACAGATAATAAACTAATATAAAAAATAAATAGTCACCTAAAAATATGTGCTATTATCAAGAGAAAGAAGGATAGAGACTAACTGGGCAATGAGACTGGGATATTTTTGATAAAATTGTTCAGCACGTTCCCTCTCAAATGGCTTTTAAACTGAGATCTAATTGACAAGAAGGATTCAAGCATTTGAAGCTCTCTGGAAAAGTATGGCAGGCAAAGAGAAAGCTGATTCTAAGGGCTTAAATGGACACAAGCTTGGTTTGTTTGAGGAATAGAAAGAAGATCAGTGTGCTTGGAGGTTAGTGTGAAAGAGAAGTGTGCAATGAGACAAAGCCACATAAGTAGACCCAAGCCAGCTCATTTATGCTTCATAAACTAGAGTGAGGAATTTCCATTTCATTCTAAGCCTGATAGGAAAAAAAATGGAAATAATTCTTTTCAGGGTGGGAGAGAACGTATTCACCATGGTTAATGGGTACATATTTGCTCTGACATGTGTGCATGTTTGGGTATGTATGGGTGTGCTGGTGTGATTGCTGGAAAGGAGAACTGATAGCTTTCCCTTGGCACCATGGACAGAGGCCCTAACTAATAATCACTGTATGTCTCTAGGACAATATTCCAACTCCCAAGTCTTGCCTTATGATGTTACCTTCATTAAAAAGGCAAAGGGAGACAGAAGGAAACAATCTTTCTCCCTGTCTGGCTCCCTCAACCAGGCTGAGCTAAAGATATGCTGTCAAGTAACATACCTCTATTAAGTCATTATATAGATCCATCATTCTTTAGTTTATTAATCACCATGTTCTCTCTCCTCCCACTCTCCTCACTCTCTCTTGTTTAAAGACAAGATGATATACAAGTTATCAATACATTTTAAGCCACAAGTACAGTCCCAACACATAATATATGATCAGGAAATATTTGTTGAATGAATGAATGAATGGCTGATTAAAGGAATGCATATAAGAACAGAGTAGCTTTTGCAAAGAAGAACGGAATGCAATCATGCAAAATACAGATATATAGACCACAATAATATGAAAGTGATACTAATTATTTGAAATACGAGAAAGAGTTAAATTTACGATGCCTACACTGCATGTGCAATCTCTAGGGACTGGTTATGAATTTAAGATAAGAATATTCCTAGATAGGAGATAAAAACTGACTCCTGGGGCTGGCCCCGTGGCCGAGTGGTTGGGTTCGCGCGCTCCGCTGCAGGCGGCCCAGTGTTTCGTTGGTTCGAATCCTGGGCGCGGACATGGCACTGCTCATCGGACCACGCTGAGGCAGCGTCCCACATGCCACAACTAGAAGGACCCACAACGAAGAATATACAACTATGTACTGGGGGCCTTTGGGGAGAAAAAGGAAAAAATAAAATCTTTAAAAAAAAAAAAAAAAACTGACTCCTATGTTAAGTAGCCAAGAGGTATCCTGGCCTTGATGCTACGTATAGGCTCTCTTAGAATCTTAGGACCTTTTACAAAAGGAATTACTGTACAGGATGCAAATATTTACATGAATGTGTCACTTCTGGAAATAGCTTTTGCTGCTCTCTTATGTGTTTTATGGTTGGATGCTACATTTGCATTTTGCAGTGGATTTTATAATTACAGACTGTCTTCTATACCTCCATTCCTTTTCCATTTCTTTTCCTTCTATGATTTTCCCTCCTTCCCCAAATGACAATTTCCTCCTTGTCACTTTCCTCTCTCTGCTTGAAAATTTGAATTTAAGAAATAGACATCGTAAGAATTCTTTTCAAAGCACATTCACCTCTTCAGAGAAAAAGTGTCATGGAAACATAACAAATGCATAAAATAAATGAGCGTGATGCAGTAGCACATCAGATATATTAGTATCATTTATTTTAGATTTTAACCATCTAAGAGATAAAGGTCATTGAAGATTGGATGTGAAGACAATTAAGGTCATAGGGATTTCCTGGGGATTATTAGCTTTCCTTAAAATGGAACCAGACCTAATATCAAGCTAGGACTGCAGAATGGCAAGAGCTATTTTTAATTATTAAAAGTAATTTCACATATGGTTTAACAGTCATAATTGGAATTTTGAGTTATGCTTTCCTTGGTAACAACCCATTTCCTTTGTTTGGATAAACTGCAGGCATGGAGAGATGAAATATGATGTCCTTTAAAATGTGGTACTTCAAGAAATTATGTTTCACTGGCAGGCATTCGGCATTTCTGCAGCTGAAATGATATTTCAGTACAATACAATAGAGACTAGGCCCCATCATGAATACATCTCACTCGCCAGTTTCCGAGGCTTCAGTAAACAAAGGCTGTTGGCAAAAAAAGTGTCTGTGTGCTCTTTGAAGAAGTACTCACAAAGACATCGGGAAAGAATGGCAATATGTGGCTGTCAATCTGAGTGGCTCAGTGGGTCACAGGGAAGGTGGCAATCCTGGAGCAATAGCAGAAGCAGACGCATAGCAGCTCCTAGTTGTTCTGGGGGAAAGGAAGAGGCATATCAGCTCAAAGCACAATATCCATCTCAAAGAACCACCACCACCACCACCACCGCAAGAAATGGAATTGCTCCTGCCATTGCAGCTTCCTGGGAGGAGCGTCTTTTCTTTACGTGCCTGGTAAGATCTTATTCAGCCTTCAAGGCCCATTTCAAACATTCCTTCCTCCTGTGAAGCCATGGCTGATTTACAGTGGACGTAACTTCCCCTTCCTCTAGGTCCTTAGGGCCATTTACTCCCCACACAGAGATCCTACCAATCATTGTTCACTGCCTCATACATTAAGCAAATCCTGACTGAGCACCTACTAGGGATCGGGGGCTGAAGTAGCATTTCTAGGTTCCTTCTCACAACAGGCCTAGGTTACAAGTACTAGCATTTCTTCCATTAAATAGATGAGAAAACTCAGGCTTAAGAGGGTAAAGTAATTCACTAAAATCACACAGCTAAAAAGTAGTTAAGCTGACATTTCATGTCATATTGGTCTGATCCCAAAACCTAAACTCTTACGTAATAGATTATATTATCTTAACATGGTATTATCTTATATGATTTTAAATTACATTGCATTTATTATATTTTATATATATGTATATATTTATTTATGTGTGCATATATACTAATAAGACATGATCTATGGTATGATATGATATAATAATATAACAATATAATACAATACAATATGTGGTATGCTGGAGCTGAATCGTACTGCTTATAACAACCAATCTCTTCCCATCTCCCTATTCAGTGACATCACGTGGGTAACTGAGTACTGATCATGGCAGGAATATGTATTTACACCACGGCAATCACAAATGATACAAATCCGGGCTATTTTTCTTGAAGAGCTGTTTAAACACTTGTCACACTACTGATTATTATATTATTTTATAGTTACTGGTATAACTGTCCATGTCTGATATTTGTGAGTTCCTCATGAAGAGATTACATTTTCATGATGGCTTTTGCAGAACTTGTCTAAAGCACAGTGCCTAGCACAGGGGGGTGCTCAGTAAATTATTCTTGCACGGATGAGTGAATATTTTACCGCATCTTTCACAGCTTTTACAGTATTTACTTCCATTAGTCTAACAGTCTCCCCATTTGTAATAGCACTACAGTGGGTTGCCAAGGGATAAAACGTATAAAGTCGGAAGTGCAATTCTTTGCTTCTCAGCAGAACTGCCTCACAGGGCAGAAGCACACTGCATATCAAGTACCTCACACTTATTTCCACCTGGGAGGCCTGGAAGGATGCTGGCTGCTCAGGGGACCAAACTGAAATCTACAGCAGCTCCAAAGTGATCACAAATACACTGCTAAAATACAAATATTTGAGGTATTTGTGTGTGCTTGCCTTTGTGTTTTATTTATTTTCTTTCTTCCCCTTCGCTTGCTCTCTATCTTCCTTCAGCTTTGAAGAGATCCATACATTAAAATCCTAAGTTCTTGTCGTAAAAGAGAATCCTTCCTAAAATTATAAAAATACAACCTGTCACTTCTCACAAATGATGATGATCATTTAGTCCAGAAGTTTAATTTTTTTATCGAAAAATATTCCGGAAACCATTTTTATCCCAGAGTAACACAGGTTTTGGAATCTGAAAGGTGGTTCATGCCTCCCAGCTCTGTACTGAGCAACGTTGTGATCCTGGGCATCGGTTTCTCTTCTATAAAATAGGTGCAACATACCTACCTCAAAGGGGAAAATCCGGAAAACTCCAGCACTTTGTACAATGATGCTCTCTAATAAGCGGTCAGTAGGTGGATGATTTTTTCAGCATCTAGCAGCACACTGCCATTAAATTAATATATTTTGAATGAATGATTGAATGAGGAAAAAAAACAAAACAAACAGCTCCTTGAGATTTAAACATTCACCCACTTTCTTCCAGAGCTGTGCGTTAGGACTTTCTGTGATGACAGGAATGTTATATATCTGTACTGGCCAATATGGCAGCCACTAGCCAAATGTGGTTATTAAGCACTTGAAATGTGCCTAGTATGACTGAGAATCTAAATTTTAAATTTTATATAAATTTAATTCTTTTAAATGTAAATGCTTGCCTAAGGTTGGGTCTACTATATTGAAGTGCAGTTAAAGGATTAACTGTAGGGGACTGGGTTATATTTTGGACTCAGAACAAAATTTTCAGAGAGTATTACTCATTTTTTGAAGGACAAAATAAATAAATTTCTCCCTTTTTTTCATCCAAAGCCCACCTTTTTGTCCCTTCCTTATCCTGTTCTCACCCACGCAACTGGAACTGCTTGTGGAATTTTCTACTTTTGAGAGACAGCTTTGTGTATTGCGATTATAGCCACCCTTTAAAAATCCTACCTGCCTGTCTGGATATAGTTAAGCTCCGAGGATTTCTGACAGGCCCTGGGGTCACTAATCAGAACAGAGCGGGAGGTGAAAAGCATTAGAAGGTCATGGGTGGCCAGGCCTATAGTCCGCAAGCCTGTCTCACAGGTCACATGTAGCTGCAGTTAAAGGTGGTGGCTATTACTCTGTGCTGGCTGCTGATAAAAGTCACCCGCAGCCCTGCCAGCTTCATTTGTTCTTAAGTATTCTATTAGGGAGGAACGCATAAATTTATTTTAGAGAGTGCCCTGAGTAATGAGGAGAAAAGATGCCACGTGCATTAAAAAGTGTTGTCTTAAAGAGGTGCTCCAAGTATTAATATCTGCAAACATTTAAACCTCTAGATCATAAAGCATAATGACCCTTAGAAATTGTCTAACTCAGACTATGTGTTTTATGGTTAAAGGCTGAGGAGTGACCAGCTCAGGGACAGAAAGATCACACCACAGCTAAGACTAAAACCTGGGTTTGCTGATTCTCACTGTTCTTTCTGTGACACCCCACAGGCAGTTGCAAATAGAAAAGAAAAAAAAAAATTGAGTCTATTTTGAAAGACTGTCGGAATGTCAAAGCACTTGTAGGCTGAGAAAAGAGTTATATGTAAATGTATTATAATGTGATCCTGTGGAAAGGGGTGGGTGTCATTTATGTATTTTCCCTAATTTTGCCCGCCACCCCTTTCTCCGCAGGCACACATTGACTATGATTCTCTCAGAGGACATAATACTCTCTCGGAGTAAATTAGGCAGGTAGGAAAATTGCATTAACTCTTTCCACTCCCCAGGGAGCACATTTGGCAAATCCCTGCTTCAGTGCACTAATTTTCCTCCTGGTGTGTGGCTAATGCACTGGGGGAAAAGGGGCTTATAGGGTGTGCTGGTGAGGTCAGGGACCACATTATCGCGACTTTATTGCCAATGAGATGAGCCGAAGCCTCCCACGTGTAAATCAAAGAGTTAACAATGGGGCCGGGTGGCTGCTCTGGCTTTGTCATTTCAGGGTCACAACTGGACAGGCTGTGATCTGTCATCTTTCAGACACTCGGGTTTAGCAGCCCCTGTATTTTGCAAGCCATCATTTGTGTTTCCACAAAACCTGTAACATGGTATTACCCAGCCTGAAATCACTCAATCTTTGGGACTCATTCTACTTCTACCATCTAATCTTCGATGGGATTGAGAAGCCAAGGTGAGCTTGGAAATCTATGCAGTCATCATTTCTCCAAGTTTTTCCAATTTCCTACTTTGAGTCAGACACGACTGTGGACCCTGAATCCAGCGTTCTCTTCCAGACTGGAAACACATAGTTTCATTTCCCTCCTCACCAAAGAAAAATTGCTTCAAGATTATAAATTAATATAAAACTCTTCCCCAAGCCCACCACATATCTACTCATTCCTACACAAGCTCATACTTGCGTTTTTCTCAAGAAAAAAAAAACACAACCAAAACTGTATCTACCAGAAAAGATGACTAGCAAGCATCGACTTCAATTGCTGGTACACAGATTTTAGAAAATAAAATAAGAATTTACAATTCTGTGAGTGGAGTTATGTGCATGGAAAACTAAATTCAAGAAAGTGACTCAATCCGCATTAACCTTCTGGAGTCTTCTCCATTTTTCCGGTGGCTGCAGGCTAACATCGAGGGATTCTGTGAGGCCCAGGCTTCTGAGTATTCAAGTTCATTAGGCATGCATCTCATTTTGGCAGGAAGCCACCCTCTTTAAGCAAAACCCAGTCACAGATAAACGGAGGGCAATCATCTCCCGACTAATAAATGCAAGGCTGCAAAAACCCGGCTGCCAATCTTGCAGGATGGGGAATAAAAGGGGCGGCGGAGCGACTGTGCTTTGCGTCCCTGTGATCCCAGAGTGTACAATACAGCCGAAGCAGGAAGAAACCTCAGACCAGCTCTCAGAGGCGAGATCAAAACTGCCTGTGCAAACAGTAATAATGCGATGTGTTTGGCCTGAGTGGTACGTTTGTCCCTGGGAGCTTAGAGCATTTTACAAACTCTTTCTACGAAATCCCTGTGCTGTCCTTGGGAAAGGAAATGAGACCAGGAGTGCAGTACGCATTGGGCCACTGAGGCTCAGCGAAGCCTGGGGACCAGAGGAGGGTGACTTGAGAGAGGTCTGTAAGCAGAGTGAAATAGAGGATTGAGGGGCCCTTCACCAATCTTCAGACACGGGCACTGAGAAAAAGCTAGAAAAAGGCAGCTGGCACACTCCAGTATAACAAACTGAAATGTTCACTGCCGCCAGGAAGTACCATCAAGGAATGAACAGGAGAGTGTATAATCATAGGGAATAAAGGAGCCTACTATCAACAACATCTAGAAAACCAGTTATTTTTGGTGGAATCTCCCAATTTACATATAGTGGCAACTCAATACTTCTAAAATACAGTGCAAGCCAAAAAAAACATGTTTTTAGGTCAGATCCAACCAGTAGGCACCAGTTTGTGCCATTTGACCAGGTAATTATATACACCAGCTTATAGTTCACGCCTCTCCTTTCTCCTGCCTGAGTAGATACAGCCAGGCTTTCATCACGTTAAGCATAATGGCATTGTGGTTCATTCTGAACACATGACTTATAAACTTAGTTAA